ACCACAAGAAGAATTAAGGCAATTTTAGGAACTGTTTTTCAAAACCATGTAACAAAAAGAGACTGAAAACGTGAAGAAGAGAAGATCGCGAAGAAGAATAGTAGATTTAGGAAAGATTTAAGGAATAAATCCTTTTTGGCAACAATATTAATGTCACGATTTATTGATCCTAGATTTAGAGAATTAAAACCAACTTCAAAACGTAAGAAAAAAATGTAAAATGTGTCACCATGTGACATCAAACTCGTGATCTCTGATTTTAAGTATGTGCGTTTCAAACCAAGTGAGCTGTGGGTCTTTAACCGAACAATGATAAGTATGTGCGTTTTCAAACCAAGTGAGCTGTGGGTCTTTAACCGAACAATGAAGCAAACGAAAGCACTATATTCATATACATTTTCCGTTTTTTTATCAAATATTGCGTATATGCGTATTTGAACCAAGTGAGTTTCGAGTGTTTAATCGAACAATGAAGCAAACGAAAACATTATATTCATATAGGTTTTCTATTATATTAAAAAAATATATATGTTTTTTCCAAAAATACAGGAAAAAATCAAAAATGTTATTGACGGAAAAAAATATACGTTTTTGGAAAGTAAATATCGAATAAAACATTTTTTGAAAAGTAAATAACTAATGGTCCTAGATTTAGGGGATTTAAACTACCTTTGGTAGAATAGACTTTCTACCATTTGGTAGAAGATAGAGAAATAGGTGGATAGAAGGGGTAGAATATGCATTCTGCGTATCGTAGAAGACATAGTCATTGGTAGAAACTGCATTCTGCAACTGGTAGTACTGAAGCAAATGATGGAATGTGCAATATGCGATATGTAGAACTTATGCAGTTAGTGGAGTATTTCTTTCTACCACTCGTAGAATGATACAAATTCGCAGAATATCTAATCTACTAATAGATTCGACCATGGTAGATGGAAAAAACAAATTATGTCATAGTTTTTTTAGTTTTTTTTGAAAAAATTATAAATATGAATCTATATACCTTGTACACTACTATTTTCTATTTTTCTGATTTTATAAAATTATAAAAATCATTTTTTGTATTTTTCAATATTAATCAAAAGGTAATACAGGAAAAAATTGGTATAAAAAAGGCAAATATTATTTTGCAAAACACTAATTCAATGTTAGTCAATTTAGCAAAATTCCCAATACTTAGCTTGAGAATTCAAACGCCTTTCGGTTTGATATGCCTTTTCCCTTTCTATTAAGCCAGTAGTTTTATATTACGTATGAACACATTTTCTAATAAACGTGAATTAATATAAAGAAACTCATGCGCAAAAATACACATGAAATCATTTTCAATCTTAAAGCATTAGGAAAAGAGAAAATAAAAAATAAGATAAGTTGAACATTTTGGGTTCCCATATACGACAGAGATATCAAGACTACTAATAGACCAATAGACTACTGGCTACTGGATAAGAAAGATCAGGCTAAGGTGTCTGATTTTGGAATACTTCAAAATCGGTAACCATTGATGAAATTCACCGGTTACTTTTGGGTACATAGATCCAAAATACTTTCAAGCAAGTATACGGACAAAAGTGATGTTATCAGTTTTGGAGTTGTCCTCGTGCTGCTCTTAACCAGAGAGAAACCGTCCTGCAGAGTTTGATCTGAATAAAACAGGGGCTTTGCAGCTCATTTTGTTAAGGCCATGCAAGAGAACAAAGTTGTTAACATAGTTGATAATCGGATCAAAGATGAAGGCAACTTGGACAAAGTGATGGCAGTGGCAAACTCGCTACACAGTGTTAAACATAAAAGGAAAGAAGAGTCCAAACATGGGAGAATGCATATCATTTGTTTTTCACTACCAAAAAACATTGAGGTTTGGTCAGGCATTGAGGTTTGGTTAGGCAATACCAAAAAACATTCTTCAGGGTAACTTTCGAGATATAGTTGTTGGCAAGAATCAAACCTTGTTAGTAAACAAAGTTACTATCTGAAGAAAGCTTTTGAGTATTGCATGACCAAGTCTCAATGTCGCATAAACCCAAACAAACAAAAAACAAATATCAGCCAAGTAACCAAAAGATACATAAAACCAGTTCGATCGCCCAAACCCTAGTTCATGTGTATGTAAACTCTCAAGCACGTTTCAAACACAAACCAAGTGAAATTAAAGAGTAGACATACATGAGAATTTAACCAAACAGAGAAGATGAGAGTAAAGAACTAAACATCATGCAGCGTTACAATCTCAAAATGTGAAGAAAAAGAATTAGGTCTTTTTGTTCTTAAGCCGCCGACTGGGTTCCAAAGGAATGAAAGTTATGAAACGCCGAGGGGTTTTATACTTGGGAAATTGGCACGCCCTATCTTTCCAAGGTATTTTTATGGGCCGGATCCAAAAAAAAATATTTTTCAAGTTTTTTTTCTTACATTTTTCGTAATATATACTCTTAAAATTTGTAAAATATATTAAAAGATTTGTAAATAACCCTTGATACGTTTACTCATATCTTTCCTTGCTGGAGAAAGATTTGTGCAGCTGCCAACAACGTGGAGAAAGTCCGTTGAAAGCAAATAAAATAAATTAATTTTGTGATTTAGTATTAATAATTCTTAAATATATGAAGTGAATATCAATGACTTCGATATCGATAGTTCCCGTTTAATTTTTTTTTTAACTTTGTTACGTACATATATGTGACCGTTATATAAATCATGTTATCAAAATAACCAATTATGATTTAAAAGATAAAATTCATCAGTAATTTTTTACTTTATCTTTATATTACTTATCATTTTTTGTCATTTATCTCCGTCTCATGAGTTTATATATAATTTGATTTTTGTTCATCGTAGAGAAATATTTGAGATTTGTGATACTATTTGTTGAACGTTGGTCTTCGTATTAGGCTGAAAAATTAAATATTAAGATAATTTTTAAGTTTAATGTGTGGTTTAAAAAAAAGTTGGATTGAATGTAAGATTTTTTTTTTATTGAGCTACAAAATCTTTTAATAAGAAAGAAACCTTTTATATTTCATAAAATATATAGATATTAAAAATAATATGGAAAATATTTTGTTCTTTTCACATTTTAGAAAACATATTATTAAGTCTGTTGATTTTTACTAACTGTTTCAACTATAAATTCATAAACACATTTGATTTTTTTTTTA